CTAGCTGCCATGCCACCCGAAGGAAGCACGAGGGCTGGGATACTGCCAGGTTGCCCAAGCCTAGACAGGGCGGAGGTCGGATTCGAACCACGGACCCTCCGGTCAGTGAATTCGCGCTCTAACCACTTGGGCCATCTTGAGCTCGGCAGTACCCCCAATCCATGTTCAAACACACAGGAAAATCTCATGTACAAGGGGATACTACAGCTAACAAGCCGTGAAGATAAAACTATCACCATATCCTTTGAAATTCACATACGAATACTGTTGCTGATTTTTGGAATTTATGAAAAAAACCATGAACGGTACACATTCCAATCAAAGGAAGCCAGAAAGACTGTGCTTCTGCAGTTAGGAAACGGAGAAAGATGGACGGCAAAAACCTAAGTAGCCGGGTTTTAATAAAAATATATTGGAAATATCTCTGAGAGCAACATACGTATGGAGTTCGTTGTAGGATACCCTTAACTTCAAGTGAAGAACCTTAGGTTCGACAGCAACCCGTTGCAATATTGGCCTTTTAACCATAACCGTGAGGCAACGGTGAAAATGACATAACTACTGACTTGCTAGGTACGCAGCCCTACTGAGCCGAACACTGAGGCGAAAATAACCCAGTTAGCAATGAGTTATCTACTGAAGCATTAACCGACCACACAGCGCTCATGCAGATGTCATAGGTGTCTCAGATGACCACCCATACTACCACTTCCGCCACCGACTCAACACTTGATTTACGTCAGAAGATCAAGCGGGTAAATCCAACCGCTCAAACAATGTATGGGGCAGAACCCAACTTCAATGAGCTCACGAAATTCAACACAGAACGTATCCGACACTGGGCAATGCCAAATGACTTTGGTATAGCAGTATCTAATGATCAACCTTGTTGCACTTCAAACCGCCAAGCACCTCCATCAAAAATAAGTTTAAAAAAAGCTCGCAGTCATCATCAGAGACGGTAACATCGAAATGACAATGAATCCAACGAACTTGTCAGTCCACCTACTTACAAGTTATTGTGAGATAGCAAGACTTTCCAGATCACCTCAGCCGAAGATCTGTCGAAAGCCGGTCACATCCTCTAAAGCAAGACATGCGACATTTATCATGTCTGAAAACAGATCGTGCGACTAAAGCTTATTGTTCACGCCACTCCTGTACCTAGAAGGCTGTTGTGATTGTCACTTGCTACATACAGATACGTTCAAAAAATTTACTGCAATTGTCAGCGAAGGTGTTAAGAAGTCATTAGCACCAGGCGAAATTCCCGTGATGATTAGTCTTGAGGGTCAGTCCATGAGCACGTACATTCATCGAACCAAGCTCCAAAACCACTTAGATATGTGACTATCCGCCGAAATGGCTGAACACGGAGGGTATACCAGCCGACAGATCCACATACACATAGACAGCAAAATAAGTGTTTATACGGACGCCATACAATCACAAAGTTCACCTAGTAATATTTAGAGCCTTTGTTCAGCTGTAGCAACCCTTTGGTGGCTAACTGCCACGCCACCCGAAGGTTGCGAGGGCTGGGATACTGCCAGGTTGCCCAAGGCTAGACAGAGGAAGTCGAGAGACTAACGTCGGGTTTGAACCACGGACCTTCTGGCTAGTAAATTCGCGCTTTTACCTGAGTTGCACATGTTACCAACCACTTCTGACCCTTCCTTCAGGAGCTTAGCATTTATGACGTGCAACATTTATACGATATTTTTAGCGTACCTCGTGCTTGCTGTCCGCTCATTTAAACCAAATCGGTAGGTTACGCAAAACATACGAAGACCCGATTGAATGTATACTCTTATTTTTATACCGAATGATTTGCTGGGCGCTCTAGCTAGCTATTTGCTAAATCATAAACTCATTTGCGCTATCAATACGTGTTGCGTTATTTTATCCATTTGAGTTGAACACAAAGCAGCAGAAATATGTCGAGGCACAGCTGCTCAACGATCGTAAACCCCAAATTTTTTTATGCTAGTGAGCCTTGAAAGGGTGACACCTCGGCCAGATTCCGAGTTCCGGATCAACAATTATCTCAATTATGATAAGTAGGCCGATGTATCAACCCTTAGCAAGCGTGTAAACATCATCCCAACAAATGATGCCAAACTTCCTTCAGCGATATTGCGCAGACTACCAGAAGCGGTCTTGGCCTCTGGTGACACACATGACTGAGTAGAAAGCTAACGACCAGCGTATGGATATCGTAAAATCCCGTAGTGGCAGAAATGACGCATTAATCGCAAAACTCAACCAGAAAAGGCTCAATGGGTGAACCCTGAAACCGCGGACGAGTTCTATCCTCACAAAAGGGGGAAGCCAAACACGTCCTGAAAGAGTGAAACATTCAGGTGGTAACACAAAACCAAGGCGTTCAACGAAGCACCGTGGAGTAGGGAAAACAACGTGCCATGTCGGTGTACGCGTCGCAGCGAGCGCAATTTAGACACGATTACAGGAGGAATCAAATACGCATAGCTGTGATATATTTTCAGTCAGTTGGGTATTAACCGTCCTGCCGTAAATAAAGACTAAAATTGCCGTGGCCAGCACAGAAAATGTGTACAACGCGGAAAACCAGTACTCACGCATCACCGTCGCTCATGGCGTGGCTGCACCTTCAAAGTAACCGCGCGTCCCAATGACTAAAACTAGGATGAATCAAGGTCAGTTCCCGATGTTTCTTCCAGGGACCAAAGTCGTTGTATTTCTGCTTCACCGGTAACCCGTGTGTTTCATTGAGGCACTTTTTGTTCTCGAAGTTACTATTATTATTGCGGCCTGTTTTTTTCATATGTTCACTCGGTGGATCTCTGGTTAGGAGCTTCTTAGCAAACGCCAACTCATTTTCAGAGCTGTGGGGTAACCAGAGTAAATCGATGGTCGTAATGCCTCTGACGCCCGCAGCATCATCGCTGATGGCCCTACGCCATCAGTACGCACGTGGCTTAACTGCCATGCAAATACGGGTGAAGAGGAATCTGATTCAGTTTGGAGAGTAAATGGATCGTTAGGGTCTTATTTCATAGAAGCAGTATCTTTACTAAAAGAAGTAAAGCGTATGGTTGCTGCTGCTTTGGACAGCATTAAGATGAACACATCTAAGCATAATGTTGACGCGGAGCGCAGAAAGCATGAAGCTGAGCGACATGAGGCTAATTCGATGATTGATAATCTTTTTCCTGACAGTCTGGCTAGGGAATGATCGCAAGTTTGCCACTGTTATCAATTCCGTTGAGTTTCCTCCAAAGTTTTCCCAATATCCTCGAGCGGTACCACGTGAGCTGAATTCGGGAGGGGGTTGTTGGTTATACATTTTTTTATTTTGATAGCTCCCGCTCCAATGACATGTAGCGAAACTGTCACTAACAATCCCCTGGATGAGGAGACGGTGCTTGCATCGGCAGATGGCGGTTGGATTGGCGTAGCATTGTCCCAATCACTCCAACCCGGTACATCCCGGATGCCTCCCTGGCGAAACTCATCCGTTATTAAGAGGACGCTCACACACCGTTTCGGCGTGGATTCGTTGAAGCCAGCCAACTCTTGGTCTGCTGACGAACCGGTGATCAAGCACACAATCGTACTCGAAGTCCTGTAAACCAGCGGCCACGTTTCGGAACTATAAAGTTTCCCGGAGCGTGCTGTTCTGTAGTTTTAACAAAATTCGCTCTTGATTCTACGTAAGCCGCAAGATGGCAAATAAATCTTGCGTATCAGCTTCATCTGTTACAGCACAGTCGCGGCTTATGCGGCTGTCGAGATGCATCAGCTGATCAACACATTCAAGCCTCTATTATGAGCCGCCGGACAAGAATAGCGCGGAAAAAATCTTGTAGATATATCGCCAGGCGAAATAACTTCAAGTTGGGGCCAAAACGAACCTGGATGTCTTGGCAGCGCACTTAGATCTCCAGTTATTACGACTATACATAATCTCTTTGGGGTGGACAAGAGGGCGGTAGACCACTTCTGCATTTGGATAGAAACGGTTCTCTGTTCTAAGTAGTTCGCTTGTCCCGTTGAGCACTTGAAAGTGTTGGTGTGCATCCATCACGTCTTCATTTATCCAGTTCTCTTCTATCTTTTGTTTGAGTCTGTAAACAAATAAGTATGCTTCGTCCTTACACGGCAATAGGGTATCAGTATCAACACCGATGCTGCTGCTACTGATGTTGACAAATTTTTCGCATCTCTTTTGGCACCAATTGAACTGAATCCACACTGAAAAGATGCGTGCGGTCTTGTTAGGCCTACTGACAAGAAAGTGACATCATGGTAGTCGCGTGGACTTGGCACGTCATTATGTGGTCATGCGGACTTAACTTGGATGGCGTGAAAATGGTATTCAGTGTGACGACAGTCGGTTAGTTCTGCGTCAGCAAATTATGGCCTATTCCCACCTTACCTTCAACTGACTATAATTAAGTGTTGATCACGGAGATCTTTAGAGCTTTTAAGTAAGTCTTACATCCTCCTCAACTTTGTGATTTTTATGTGATAAATTGAGTATAATTTAATCACCAAAACTCACATATTATCTTGTGGTGAACACACGAGTAAACGTGGTTGACGCGCACTCGTGGCCAAATTTACAGAGCACAAAAAGGTATTTGAAATATATTTGATGAAAGTCCTCCACGTATGTAAATACAAACATATATACCTATATACATACATGTGTAGTTACCTATACAACCATGCAGACACGCTGATAACAACTGTGAATAAGGCGTGCAGATTCGTCCCACTCCAGGCCCTTAGCGGTAGTGGAACTATTTTAGCCTCTTTTTTAAAACTTAGTATGCAAACATTATGGCTTATTTAGAGTCAACTCATCCGGGTATGTATCCTATTCTGAACAGCACGGGCGACTTGACGAAGTCATTGATATAGCAAAACAGCACACCCTGATTAAACAACTAATGTAAAAGTGCTCAAAAAAGATCCTTGCAATTGATGCGGCCGATATTGGGAATTCCACTTACTTGGAAGATTCCACTTGGAAGATCTTCATCCTCCGGTGATGGAAGACCAGCGACAACGATGGGGTAACCGAAGTGATCCTTGGTCAGGGTGTAAGGCTTGAAGTGCCCACAGTTGGTTCATCAAACTGGTATATGTTGTCTTGTTTACATTAGGACACTGAAAGCAAATACTGGATAAAAAACAGTCTACCGAATACTTATATCAGGATCTTGGCTGCATCTACCAAGTCTTGACTTTTATCATCCATGAAGCCTAGATCAAATGATCCAAAACCCCGCACGATACACCATCTACCGCACGCTGGACCTGCATGGTGCACATTATGAGGTTCCAGGTACCGTCAGGTGGGGTGTTTACTTCATTCGAAGCCGGTCGGAACGTAGGTTAGTGCATTTCTTTCGGGGGTGAGAAACGGAAAGCGGAGAATCATTGGCGCTATTTACAAAGTTACTGCATGCGTTAAAATCAGAACTGAACATGAATGTAACCTTATTCGGGTTTAACGTCTCCAAAACATGCATCACTCCGTAAGACACAAAAAGCGACTTCGAAACCGAGAGAATTATTCCTCTGGGTTAGAGTTTCAAAGTTAATGTGTGATCCGACCCAGGACCTGCGCGCCCTAAAACAAGTTCAAACTCCACAGAACGTAAATCGCAAGAAAGAGCAGTTGGTATGTTAAAATAATACTCACATCGAATACCGGCGTCTGCGGAAAAAAGTCATCCGAATTCGGAGATTGTCCGAACAACATTTGAGGAACATACGCGGAAATTCTTGAATGCGAGGTTCTTACTGTGAACAAGTCATTCTTTCCTTCACCGAAACTTTTTCTTCTCTGAGTCAGGGTGACGGACGAATCGCCTTTTCCCGGAGGATCCCCACCGCTAGGGATAGAACTATTTTGCTGTCGAAACAGAGGCGCATGCTATCGTCTGGGCGACCTGTAGGTGGCGCCGCTACCTACTCGGAGACACTCCAAACTAATTTTCACTCAACGTTTGGTGGTCTCTATGTACGGAAACCAATGGAAGTGTTAAATTAAGATTGATAAGACTGGGCAGTGGAAAATCGAATAGATGAAGCACAGCTGCGACGTTCAGGAAAAGACAACGGCGTTGTTGATGGCCTAGATCGCAATCTCTGTGCCAACGTTTTTGGGACGGTGAACTCCCAGCAGCCTCACTACATGAGGTCATCTCAGGCACAGGTTTTTTATACTTTGTTCGGTCTAGCAACCTTCGGTTTTTAGCAAGCAATATCCGATATGTGGTCTCCAACTGTTCCACAGAATCAAATACAGATGTGGTGACTTAGTGGCCAGATTATCAAAGCAATACCGAAAGCAATACTGAATGAGGTAGCGTTTACTTTAAATGCATACTTGCCCCAAACACTCCTAACAGGTACCACCTAACAATCGTTAACAAGTACTTCCGATTCACTTTTGACCAACTCTTCTTATTCCACCTTTATTCACCGTCTGAATCGTCCGTTTTAACTGTCTGATATGCCGACCACGATCGCCCATATCGCGGATCCAAGTTTATGTTAACATTCTTATTCCACCTTTATTCACCGTCTGAATCGTCCGTTTTAACTGTCTGATATGCCGACCACGATCGCCCATATGATCGATCCAAGTTTATGTTAACAAAACTCAAGCGTTGCCAACAAACACCGCTACCCATAATCCGCAGTATAATGGCCAAATGAATCTACCTAATGCTAACACTAGGAAAGCCGTCTGTTTCACGAAGCTCGCCTGACACCCGTTATGAGGTCGCCCTTCTTGATGATTTCCACTGCATCGGATCCCTGCTATGAAATAACATCAGCGGTACTCAAAGTAGTAGCGATATTTTTAACTTAGTTCTCATTCTGAACATTCGAGGCAAGCGTATACACCTATGCAACCACCTAATTTACACAGTGTGATGACGCCCAAGGCCAGGTCAAGAAGGTTTGTACAGCACCTCGTATATGAAGTGTATGCGATGACAACATTCCACAAATACGACGTATGCACCAATTGCAACCGGCATTCGGTCGTTGTGTCACGGTATTCGGACAATCAGAGGTCGCCTTGATGCCGAACAAGCAAGCGTCCTACTCTTTAGGCCAACCGTGTGCGGGCTAAGCCTGTTGGTCGTAGCAGCGCCGAACCTCGAGTGCTAAGAAGCCATCGGCGTGGCATTCCGCTAGGCACTCCACATAAACGTTTCCTAGCGTTCCCACGTCGACAAAACAGCGGTGATTTTTTGGCTACTCGGCTAAGCGTCCCAGGTCTGGTCCCTCTAAAGTTGAACGATCAAGCCTCGAAATCTAACCATCTGGTAGAGGAGTCGTTCGTCTCCTGTCGTCTGCAATACACTCACATAGTTCGTCCAGGTTGCAAAGATCAAAGTGTATCCCGACGACGTTTGTCTCATAATGGCATCACCATGACATCCGATCGTTCCGATACAGAAGTGAAAATGAGGCATTTCGAAGAAAAAAAGAACACTCATCCAGCGTCATTAGTCTACCGTAAGGGTTCGGAAGATAAAATCTTGCCTACGAGCGATGAGTTATCATCTAATTTAGACCCAGATAATCACTTGGATACCCTCATACGATAGCAGAGCACTCAACCTTATAATCTGCGCAACAAAAAGGCCTAGAAGACTCAAAGTAACACGGATTCACGGATTGCTACACCGGATCGAAGCTTTGCTCAAGTTTCCTGAGTCGGTTTTGTTCTTATCGTTCAGATACTGCCGTTCGTCTGAAAGGCACAAGCGAAAAAGTATGTAGCATCGCTCTTTAATTTCTAAACACGGGCAGTATGCGTACCTGCGCGAGGATTCGCAAAAATAGACGCCTGGGTTCCAGAAGAAGCGTTGAAAGCCGTCGGAAGTAGGTTGTTAGATGCAGCTACTACCGGAAAGGAGAATATGTGCACCCTGAAATTGAAAATTTTGTCTTGTCTCTGCCATGTGTTTGCTGGGTCAACGGTGGATAAACCGTTTGCCAAGTGTTGCTCATACATGGCATAAGAAATAATTAGGTTTTTCGGATGCGACGATACACGAGGGGAAAGCGGTCAAGCACCACGAGATGCGTTTCGTAGTCCACGGATTTGAGGCTGGCAAACATTTTTCCTGGTGGCTAGCTGGACACCCTCAATGGGGGCGACGCCCTTTGAGCATCCTGAGTAGACAACTTGGTCGGCCAGACATAAGCCTCATAGTGTATTTCGAAGTCAATGCGAGTAATACGGTAGAAGCTAAGCCGAATCACCCGTAAAATGGCGAATGCCTTTTGGGCCGGTTTTTCGTGGTGCGGTGAGAAGGACAAGTGTGGGGATAGCCGGATATCCAAATTCTTTTCGGCGCCTATCCTCATGATGCTTTCTGGTCCTTTTTCAATATGCATGGCATTCGCTGAATCCCTTCCAAATGACACATGGACTCACGTTTCGTCATTCAGAGTAAGGTTCCAGTTCAACGATCACTGCCTGGCAGCGTCTACATCCATCTAGAGGGCACTGGAATTGGAACACCAGGATTTGAAGTGGTCCGCAGAAAGTGGACATGTCATGCGGAACAATCTGGGAGGTCGCTGAGGCGTATCAGAAACAGTAATGGTCCCATAACGGAGCCTTGGGGAACGCCAATAAAGACCAGCGCTTGAGAAGAGTGGTTCGAGCCTATTTTTGCTCAAAATGATTAGTCTTAATGGAACGCCTTGATCCAGTGTGGAATTTTATCCTGATTCCCTTAACACTCGAGTCTTCTGGGCAGCGGGACGTGTTGGGCCCGATCAAATGCCTTTGAGAAGTAAAAAGAACAAGTCCCTCACTCTTGGTTTGGGTTGCGCTGTCCATAAAGACGAGCATGTTTGTCACGCAAGAATGGTTTGGGAGAACTCTGTGTTGAGCTGGGAGTATCAAGTGCTCGGGCGTAAGGTGGCCTAAGGTAGTTCGCTTCAGAATGCGTTCCATCACCTTTGACGGCACGCTAGTGAGGCTTATAGGCCTGGAGCTGCCAGGCGATGGTCGGTCGCGGGTTTGGCTTTCTTCCAAGCAGAGAGAAGGCGGCCTGCATTAAGTGACCGACGAAACACCATGTATAAGTTACTTGCCAGTGTAGACGACGTTTCCTTCAGGATCCTTGGATGGGCATCGTCGGGCCCCAACGCACAGAATGGTCTGATCTTGCGCAAGAGTTGACGGATGTCCCCCACCGTGAAGACCAAGTCGGTTAGAGTCTGTTCATAGTTACTACTTAACAAGACTGGATATGAAGAGGACGCCGGGGGCGAATTAAAACATGCATAGTGTACTCCGTAAACCTCACATATCACAGTTTGGTCACCCGTGGGTTCTTAGTCCTGGTCCGCAAGGAGAACGCAGATGGCTTGTTTCCGCAGCCATGTCTCATGTATTTGAGCAGCACATTTCTGTTTTTCAGGATGAGGTCCTAAATGGTGGCTTGTTTTCGTATCTTCTATCGATGGATTTCTAGTTTACACCAGTTTCGTAGTTTACGAATTGCCAGCTCAGCTTCTGTGTCCCTCTAGTCACTCCTCTGAAAAAAGTTTAGACCGCTTTCCCAGAAGACGACGAATCTCCTCAGGTAGCCTGCGGCTCATCCGACTGCATGTGGGTGGTTTTCTGGATGGACATTGCGACGGCCTTGTGGACAGTGGTCCATTATAAGTCTTCCGCAGAAGCTAGCTACAGTTTAACTTGCTCAAGAAACCCATTCCTGAAAAGTGTGGACGGCAGAAGTTTCGAATCCACGTTTGAGGTTCGGAATTTCTGGCCCAATAGCAGATTAAAGGTCATCACCCGTTTATTGCTATGCCCCAGTAAAGCGGTAATTGTCACCTGATAAACGAAGTGTCTTTCGTTGATGATGACCAAATCCAGGAGGGACGGTAGCTGGCCTGCGCGGCATCTGTTCGGTGCAACGACATGTTGAGTATAAACACTCTGTTGAACAACTTCGGTCAGTGGCTTTACAAAAAGTCATTTGATGCGACGCACTGGAGCTCCATCCAGGAGGTTTTGGAGCGTTGAAGTCACCTACCGACAGGAGATGAGCGAAGTGGTAGCCGGAGGAGAGTTGCTCAGGGGTTCGTTTGGGGAATTGGTTATTTTCAGGAGGACTCGAGGGACGACGGTAGACCACATCGAAGAGGAGAGAATCAGACTAATGCAGTGGGATTCTGATCCACAGTTAATCGCAAAAAGACGTGGGAGTGGTATCAGAGAGGAGGATCGAGAAGTGCAGAGTCGTATGTAAGTAGAAAGCAACCAATTCAGCCCTCAGTCGCTTTGAGTCAGCTCGAAATCAGAGTAAACGTTTATTGGGAAATCTGGTGTGAGCCAGGTCCTTGTGAGTGCGACAATGGACGGTTGTTCAGGACAAGCTGGCTGTTTAATATCGCAAGGTTTGTTGAAAGGACTGAGGAAAATTGTGGACAAACATTTCGACACTGTCTCTGCTGCCTCCGAGGGTGAGGAGTCAAGAGTTGTTTGACCAGAGAGGTTAGCAGACTTAATAGTTGTGCGTCGGGTTTGAATCAAAGGCCACAAAGGGGCCTCTGGTTATAATAATAATAATATTTATTTCCAACTAGTGGGTAGCATACCGTCAGGCATGATCATAGTATTACAGTCAGAATACTCGTTTGCTTCCTGTGTTGGTGGTATCGGAGGTTGCTTTTCATTTGCAGGTCTATTTCGCCGCGTGGGAGCCCGGCTTATTCTGGTCTTTTACCTCTGGGGGACCGAGTTTTTTCCCCTGAGCCACTTGTAGCCACTTGTAGCTCTTTCAATACCGCCTTTTGGACGACCGGATTTTTAGTTGATCAAAGATTTCGGGCAAGATTTCGTCTGTTTGGTGTTTTGAGTTTTCCGCGAGGGTTGGTCGGAAAGTGCGTCTGTGAGTCCCTGAACGTTGTGTGGCAGTACAAAGGAGCAATTATTTTAGTGGCGCTCCCGTGACGCTCGTTTTCGCAGAGGAATGAACCTTGAAGCAAGCCAGCAATTTTCTGATTTGGCGAATCTTATGTGGCTTGTTTGGCTGCAGTCGACTTTCTCTCGTGTTTGCGTGGACACCCGATCTGCTGGCGAGGAGCTCGGCCAGCTGGATGCGCGAGGGATTTTCCGGTTCTCTGTGGTCACGCTTGGGGCTTTTGTTGTCGATGTCCTGGAAGACGACTGTGCCCACAAACAAAGAAGCCACTTTCGACGAAGTGGAGCTGGAGATTGACAGATACACATTATCAGTGTTTGTACGGTTGTCGCAGCATTCCGCCATGTTGAGGTCAACGCATGTTTGATGTGTCGGTGGGCTTCGCCGCTGGAGCCACATATCTGACTCAGTCCGGCTCAGAGGTTGGGAATATGACGAGGAGTTCACAGATGCATCTTTGTTACCTGTTACGGAAAGAAGCGCCGACAGATCTACGTACTTTGGGCGCTGCATTCGCGCGGGAATTGCCTCCTCCAAAGTATTGCTGCCTTTGGCAGTCGAGTGG